TCTCTCTCTCTCTCTCTCTCTCTCTCTCTCTCTCTCTCTCACTCTCTTTCTCTCTCTCTCTCGCAGCTCGTCCACTCACACCGACGCAGATCGTCACCGTTGCCGTGGTTACTGCACTCATCGTCGTGGCGATTATCTTCGCCGCCAGCACGTGTGCGGTTCGTTCGCGCGCGTACAGGACTGAGGGACGGCAGCCGTTGCTAGGAGACCAGTATCAGCGCTATGACGACCACGACAGAACACAGTCTGTCGTATAAACACTTATACAGCATAACAACCTGTAATATTATCATAAACACTTATACAGCATAACAACCTGTAATATTATCATAAACACTTATACAGCATAACGACCTGTAATATTATCATGCACCTTTCTGAGTGACGGGTACAAACAGGTGCTTTTTTGACTATCACATACAGTATATTGTCCCCTAATAACACTGAAATAGAAATAGAGTTTGACCATCAGTATCTCATTACAGCTGTTTTAAAAAATATATATTTGGACTTTATTTAAAAGTTTAATTATGAATAATATAAAGTCTAATGGTGAAAATATTGAAATAAACCAACAAACTGTTTCCCATGTCGTTCCTCTTTCACCGCTAGATGGCGCTGCTGTTCACACTTGAATGAATTAATGAATGAAGCATTTATAAAGCGCTTTATTGTGTATTGTTGTTCACCCAAAGCGCTGTACAGTCATGTGGGGGGGGGGTCTCTCCTCAACCAGCACCAGTGTGCAGCATCCACTTCATAATGTTCACTTTTAACAGAGCGACTATTACAAAACACGACTGGCCTGATATTAAACGTGTTCTCTGAGAATACTTCACAGACTGATTCTCATAATAAGACGATAATGAAGCAGATGTTCCTGGTTTCCTCGCTAGATGGCGCAGGTTGCTGTTCACCAGGTGATCATGCTCTTCTGTGCTGAGAGATGTCTTTACAACACAACCACACTAACCCACAGTACAGAGAGCAGAGAGCGTCCACTGGTTTTTGCAGCATGTTGAGGAGCGTGTCTGAATAACGCGGGAAGAGCGTGCTGCGCATGCGCCGCCTGATGATGACGAGCACGAGGGCGGGGTGTCACCTGTGCGTGCGCGCGCCCCGTACGTCAGATCCGAGGCGCACCGAGGAACGGATCCGCGCGCGTTACCGGAGTAATCCCGCGATTCCGAGCCTCAGAAGATCCGGGTCCTCGTCCCCGAGGGTCTGACGTCATGCTCCGGTAGGCTCTGGATTATTGATGCGGATGATGATGGAGGATCTGCCGGACTTCAGAGACGTGGAGAACAAACTGGGCCGCAAAGTTCCGGGGAGTTTGATTCGTTCATTCGCGGGCGAACCGTTCAGAGGCTCGGAAACCCGCGAGCGAACCGATGATCTACAGACGCTCCACAACAACATCAGCTTCCTGCGACAACAGATGGTGAGTGGCGCGGTCCAAAGAGTCGCTTA